TGATTAGATAATTGCATTAATGAGAAATTGAACAGGTGTTCCTAATAATCCTTTAGGTGAGTGTATATGCATTAGTTAGGTCCAGCCAAAGCACTGCCCTCTGGACCCCTTTCCCCTCACGTGCCTCCCTGATCAGCTGGGTGATCACTCCGGTGTGTTCTAGGCAACCAGGAACTCCGGGAATGCCGCCCTTCTGTACTGAGGTGTCGATGTACTTGTTCTTTATGAGGAAGTCTGTCATCCTTCTGGCAATGATACTGAAGAAGACCTACCCCTCCACACTGAGAAGTGAGATGGATCGGAACTGCTCCAGCCTGGTTGAGTTCTCCTCCTTAGGTATCCGGACTCCCTCCGCCTCTCTCCACTGGTTTGCAATGGTCCCCTTATGCCAAGTCACTCACAGCAACTTCCATAGGATTCTGAGGAGGTTTGGGCATTGCTTGTACACCTTATAGGGTTCTCGACTGGGCCCTGGAGTGGAGCTGGCTCTGGCTGCTGTTACCACCTCCTGGACTTCCTTCCAAGTGGATTCTGAGGTCTTAAACTCCACTGTAGGGGCTGGCATGTCCATGAGGGCTCTCTGTGGTCCAAGCTCTTGCTCTCTGTCTGGGTCGCTGAGGGTGTTGTGAAGGAAGTTGTCCACCCCCTCCTGGGAACACTCAAGACGCCCATTGCGTTTCTGTCCTAGCAACCACTTAGTGAAACCAAAGGGGTTGGCTAAGAACGAACTTCGCTTCCTGGCTCTCTCCACCCTCCATCTCCTGTGCCATTCCGCTCTGCGCAGGGTCTTGAGCTTCTTCCGGATGGTGTGTCAGAGCTCCACGAGAGGTGGCTTGTCCTCCTGGGCTCCTCCTGTATCTCACCAGGCATTAATCCTGTGCGTCGTGCTGCATTCTCCTGTGCCAAGCATTTCATTTGGCTTTGATGGATTTTTAGGCCTCGATTGTTTAAGTTAAATGCATTAATTGCGTATGAAAGTGAAAGCGAAATGCCCCCCAGCAGGTGCTGACCCGGAGCTGGTCCTGAGCCATCATCGTGAATGCACCCCCCGCCTCGCCCACAATTCCAGTTTCTCTGCTAGGCACATGCATAAAAAATATTTTTAAATCTTACTGGCACCTGTTTGCACCTGCCTCAGTAAATCAGAGGGTGAGTTTTTATTTATATCACAAAACTGAGGATTAAAACTTATCTACAGAGCGAACTCTCCCGTTCACTGCCATAGCCAAACTAATCATTTTATAATTATTAACCCTTTATGTGCCATTTTTCACCCTGTACAATTAACTAAGAATATTTCATGTTTATGAAAGATATAATCAAGTAATTATTAATATGTACATATAATTAGTATATACAATGAGACTCAATTGTAGGGGAGACTCAATGATTTATTGTCACATCCTGGCCGTTATAATCCTAATTTCCAGCATTTCGTTTTAGTGGCACTAGTTTAGGCTAACTACCTGACTGCAATTCAGTGACTTCAAATAATTAATTCCTTTTTTTCCTGATCAGTTAATAGTAGCCATAAAAGACAAAAGAATGTTACTATAAATCAAAGTAAAATAATGAAGTTGTTTCCGATAACATCTTTATTTAGGAAAACATAACAAGAGCACATTTTACAGGCAAAACTCTGGATTTACATTTTACAATCAAAACAGCTCATTTAACACCACATTTAGGTTTTTACTGTGCAAAAAAAGGCAAGACAAATTATGAAATTATCTAACAAAACAATACAAAAATGTTCAAAAGTCTATGAACGCCATGACTCCATCACTATGACTAGTGAGCATAGCCGTGAGTGTCAAATCTCATACTTCTTGTACTTTTGTGGGTGCATATGTGCATTCATGTCCACACTCAACAAGTTTAAGTACTGAACTACACAATGTGACACTCAAGGCAGAATATACTGAGGAAGAGTAAGGAAAGACCGGGGAGGATGGGCTGTGAATGGGTAAAAAATAGAAATAGTAATACATTCATAGTGTAGTTAAGTACTTAATGAGTGTATGAATAGTCATTAAAAATGCAAAAGGATGTGGGCCTATGTAAAAATGTACAGAACCTTATCCCATGACCCAACCGCCCCCCCCAACCCCCCAGCACCCCAATGTCCATCAGAATGTTTCACTGTAGACATCGTCATATGCCAGTTAGGAAGACATCACCCAACCCTACTGGCCAGCAAAGTCCCTCAACTCATCGGATAAAATGAACTGATCACCCATAAACTGGTGACTGCTAACACAGCTATCTTGTTGATCCAACAGGATCTACAGTATCAAACTTGGGACCGTAGGCAAACATACCAAATTAAACACTATAGATCCTTCAGGCTTCTGTGTTCTTCTCTCCCAGTAATCATAGGCGTAATTTCCAGGGGGGTTAGCGGGGTCATGACCCCCCCAATAATCAGATCCAGCCAATATAACCCCCCCAATAATCATGTTTCCCCCGTAATGGGTGGAGACCTCGACCCCCCCAATGTTCCAGCCAAAGTTACGCCCTTGCCAGTAATACCTCCTCTGTCTTTGGTTCATTGTGATCAGCAGGTGATGATGCCTCCATCTCCTGATTGTCATGTGATCCCTGCAAAAATGTGTCAGTTGGTACATTTTATATTCTATTTTTGTCAAACCAACAGTCACCATGAAATGGAGTAGCTTTAAAATAACGTGACCAACTATTTCAAAAACGGTTAACAACCCACAATGCAGGGAAACTTACGTTTAATAAAAACAGGCAAAGTGCAAAGACGTTACACACAGTGCAAATAGTAAACAAATAAGTAAAAATAATCTTGGTGGGTCCGTTGTTTTCCGATTTTAAACGGAAAAAATCAGAAATGAAAAAAAAAACAGGTTGTTTTCACCATTTTGCTAGACAAATTGTGAAGGGAAAACTGGGAAACGGTTTGATTTGTGTTCATTGGTGACTACAAAGTAACAGTTTCGGGTCTCCGCTGACTGCAGAAGTACCTGAGTGTCACGTTCGGCAGGCAGGCGAGCCGGGGAAGCAAGCGAGTAAGCCGGGAATACTCAAAAGGGGGTTTATTCCGAGAAGGCAACAGGCGAACAGCAAACAACATGACAATACACAATGACCGATCTGGGAGATAATGGGAGACGTGAACTAATATATACAGGATAAGTCAAAAGGAACAGGAAACAGGTGATGACAATCAGGGATTAACACGAGGTAACGAGGTGGGCGTGGCACACACGAGGATCGTACGGAGCTGGGCCTGACACTGAGAGTCTTTGTTGTAGCTGTGCTTCAGTACTTTGAAAATTTATTTATGAATTAATGCAATCTGCACCAAAGATTACATTTTAATCATATAGTACTTAAAAAAACTATTGGCTTGGCCCTTGACCATAATTTGATTTAATTTGATTTAGCGTATTTCCCATATAGCTTATTTTATTTTCTCATTCATTGTTTTTTTTTTTTTTTACTTTTTTTATTCTTGTCCTTGTATGTAAAGTCACTGTGGGTATGAGAAAGGCGCCGTGTAAGCGGAATATGCATTCTTGTTCTTCTATTATTATTATAATTATTATTAACAATAATAATATTATCATCATCATTGTTAGACAAATATTTAAATATTTGTAATATATTTTCTGAATGTAAATGCTTGCTGTCACTATGGAGCTGAATATAGATTAACAATCTAATAAAACATGTCAGACATACTATCAAGTGCTCAGCACATGCGGGACCCCTTTCAGGACAGCTGGATGAACATCCCAGGAGGCCACCTCATGAAAGTGGTGTATATTTTTTGTTTAAAACTTTGTTGGTCAGTGCATAATTCCATACATGTTATTTTATTGCCTTGATGTCTTTATTCTAAAATAATAGTAGAAATAAACCTTTCTATGGGTAAATGTGTGTGTGTCCAGAGTATTGACTGATACTGTATGTTTCATTCAAAAAGTACTTTTCAACTTTATCTTAAAACAAAAAATTCTGCGAGCTCCCAGCAGCGTTTCTTATAACGTTAACTGACATGTTAGATTAAGACAGACAGACACAGACAGACACACAGACAGACACACAGACAGACAAAGAAAGAATAGCTCCCTTCACCACACGCACCCCCCCCCCTCCCCAGTTCCCCCCAGTACGCACCATCGCAGTACTGTATGTACTCCCCAGATGCCCCTTGACCTGATGC